TTATAATGTTTATCCATATAAGGTGTTTTTATTTTTAGTTTACCAGCCCTTATATTTGAATAGTCGTTTTCTTTCAAGTTGTTTTCTTTTTTATACTCTGCACAGTTGATTCCGAAATGTTAAGGTATTCGAAAAAACTATCGAACTTTTCCATGATATTTACAGAGAAACGTCACAGCTGTAAACCCCCCTCCCCCACCCCCAAAACGAACATATGACGTTTCTTGTGGAAAAAATCGATATGTGAGGCTTCCCTAAAACTGCAAGGTTTACACTATTGAATTAAAATCCCACAGACCACAACGATTATACGTATTGATTGTTTCTTGACGATAGTAGACGCGTACGTGCATGTTGCGGAAGAGGTTATTTCGCTGGCCTCAGAGTGACAAAAGGTACCCTGGTCCTAGAGGTTTAAAATAATAAACCTCTGTTTGAAAGCAGCAATTAATTCATCGAGCCGCGCCAATCAGCTTGAATTAGGGTAGATAGTTATGATAAGACAAGGGCAGCGCCAGGGCCGCCCATGCAGGGAGGCGACAAAGGGAGCAATTTTCTCCGCGACCCCAGCTCAAGGAAGACAGGCAAATACAAATTTGCAAGGCGATAAAAAGTTTGTCAACGGAGGGGGTAATTGTGGTTCACTGGGGCCCCAAGGGTATAATTGGCACTGGGGCCCCGTATTTCACTGAGCTGGTTTGGGCTGCGCCAGTATTTCTCCGACGGGGGGAATCATCGGTGCTCTCTTTTGATCTTTGTCAATTGGCATTAAAACCGCAAGAACTACCGACAAGTGACCAGGGCCGGATTAACGTCGCGCGAGGCCCGCGGCAAATTTTAGCGCGAGGCCCCCAAACCTCCCCCTTCTTCTTTTTATGAAAACCATTGAATTTAAAGACACACAAAAGTGTTAAATAATTTTTTTCAATATTTCAATTTATTTGCATCAATTATAAACGAGATAATGGCCTGCCTGGCGCAGTTGGTGGGTATAAACAGAATCATAATATAACAGCTCAACGCAACTAGAGATTATATGAACACGAGTATTGCATATTTTCCCGGGGCCGTGCTAGGGCGAACTGCCAAGCCTAGGGGCCCTAAATGCGCGAGATCCCTAAATTCGCGAGTCTCCTAAAATGGGTGTGTCGCAATAGAACATGGCCGTGTTCTCGTAAAAATGGGCGTAGCACAGTAAAGCGCGAGGCCCGCGGCATTTGCCGTATTTGACACGTGGTTAATCAGGCGTTAAACGAGCATCAAGCTTTCATTTTCTTTAAACGCGACGTGTGGGGAGACAATAATAATTTGTGGTGTCGCACTGGGCCAACATATCTCAATGCTGTATTTTTGGGTACTAGTACTTGTGAAATATAATACGGATCAATAGGACATTAGTGTATCAAAATAAAGTAATTTTACTGATTATTTTAACTGTGTATCAAAGTAAACACACATTATTCTAAACTACAGTATTTGCTATATGCCTATAATTTGAGTTTGAGGTGGTAGAATATATAATAAAATAACAAATCCTTGTATGGATAAATGTTCATTTCGGACGCACGCTATTAACAGCTGCTTAATAATTAACTTATGTATTCGTAAACATTTATACTCGATAGTCGATATGTAAATACTAAATGGTACATTATATGGATCAATGCAAACTGGAACAAAACAACAAATGCCAATTGAAGTTCTAATTTTGGGAAATTTAGTAACAAATACAAAATCCCTAAACAGCTCATCGATTTGTATGTTTGCGCTATTAAAAGTAGACAATATTGAACAATGATCTGAAGTTGTCATGCAACTGAGTACTGACAACAATATTATATTTCAAAATACCTGTATATGATGATATTTTACAAATATCTCGGGATTTTTGGACCAATTTTAAACTAAGCAAGGCAAAAAGTCTCCATTCAAGAATATATCTTCTTCTCAAAAGGTAAAATACTTAAAATACTTTATTAAATTGTTTACTTCGATAGGATAGGATAGGATAAAACTTTATTTGACTACGCTGGCCACTTCAACCATAGCTGCTTTCCAAGTGGGGCGTAGATAAATGTTACAAAAATATATAAAATACAAAATCACTAAGAATATTAAGAACTACGAATACAAATACATATTACAAAACAAATGGTATACAAAACTCAAATATCTAATTCGTCAGACTAACAGAGGATATATTTCTATTGAAAGAATTTAAAGATTCGCTGTTTCTTACTTGTTCAGGAATGCTATTCCAGATTTTAACCCCACTATATCGAAAACATTTTCTTCCATACTCGGTATTTGGTCGTGGCAGAAAGAGAGACGAATTTGAACTTCGTAAATTATAACTGTGGATATGGTTAGAATTCTGGAACATTGATGAGAACCTCGATGGTGCCAAATTATTGACAACCTTAAACATGAGACGGGCCATATTATGTTTTCGCCTTTCTTCCAAGCTTATCCACCCCAATTGATCGAGGGCCAGTTGAGATTGCCCAGGCTCATCTTTAAAGTTCATTATAATTCTAGCACATCTGTTGTGAAGTTTTTGTAGTCGTTCAGACTGGCCTCTATTATTGGAATTCCAAACTTCACAACAGTAGTCGAAATGGGGTTGGACAAGACCATAATAGACCGACTTCAAAGTATCAGAATTAGTGAAATCCTTTATCTTTTTCATGGCACCTATTCCAGAAGATATTTTTTTAGAAATTTGGTCAATATGACTGTCCCAAGTTAAAAATTGATCAATTTTGACTCCAAGAGTTTTTGTAACTTGAACCCCTTCAATTGGTTCATCTCCAATAAAAACACGCGGTTGTTCTTCTAACGTGTTAATATTGTGGCGTGATCCAATCAAAAGATATTCCGTTTTGACAAGGTTAAGAGAGAGCCTGTTCAATAGAAGCCATTCTCTGATATTATTGAGACCGACATTAACGGCCACCTCAGCTTCCTTAATTGATTTACGTGACACTGTAATGTTAGTATCGTCGGCGAACATGCGTGCTGTAGAGTGTTGTAAACAATTCGGCAAATCATTGATATAAATTAAAAACAGAAGTGGACCCAAAATTGAACCTGAGGAACGCCATATTTTAGATATTTTAGTGTGGAAAGTTCCCCATTTACTTGACATTTCTGAGATCGATCTGATAAGTACGATTTGAGAAGCATAAGGGGCGTGTTCTTAATACCACATAACTCTAGTTTAGCCAGTAAAATGTCGTGGTTTACCGTGTCAAATGCTTTTTTTAAATCGAGAAAAACGGCAAGATTATACAAACCACGATCCTTATTAACATACCACTCATTAGTACAATCAAGCAAAGCAGTGGACGTGGAATGAAAGCGCCTGAACCCAAACTGCTGTTCTGACAATAAATTATTGGTGGTAAAATATTCGTGTAACTGCTCATACAAGATCTTTTCAAATATTTTGCTGATGACCGGCAAAATTGATATTGGCCTATAATTGTCTAAAACGGAGCGTGAACCCTTCTTATGAAGCGGTATAACTCTAGCAATTTTCCATTCGGAGGGGAAAATTCCCATCCCAATAGCAGAGTTAAACAAATTGGTCAAAGATGGTGTAATTACAGAAGCAGATTTTTTTAGAATTTTAGCCGGTATTTTGTCACATTCAGTAGATTTAGAAATAGACAAATTGTTAAGTAGCCTAAAAACCTGTGATTCGTTAACAGGATGCAAAGTAAATTCCAAACTAGTATTTAGATTATCACTCATATGCCTGCCAAAATTTAAATTCTGAGTGTGTTCAGAGCAGGAGTCTCCAATTTTACCACCAATACTTGTAAAATAGTCATTAAGACAATTAGCCATTCTCATAGGAGAAGTAATTGTATCATTTCCTAGCTTTAATTCATTAATCATTGTGTCCTTCTTTTTTCTCCCGAGGATATCATTAATCGTCCTCCAAGCCTGGGTGTGCGATCATCAAATCAAAGGATCATTATCATATTAAATGTACACTGTAATCATATTAAACGTGCACAGTCATCGTATTAAATGTGCACATGATCATCTATTAGACAAATGATCGATTTGTCCAATCTACCGCGCCATACTACATAGTTTTGCATGTTTACAATTCTAATTTTGAACAGCCAATCAGGTTCTTGGTAATTGGCTGTTTAAAATTAGAATTGTAAACATGCAAAACTATGTAGGCGCGATCGTAGACGTTTGTGGGAGTGGTCGATATACGAATTTTTTATGCGATTCCACAGTTCGGTGACTTTCGTAATATGTAATATGATAAGTACAAAATGTTCTCGAGTGTGTATTTCATAATTTCTGACATAAAGTCTGCCGCGGCTGGGTCTTGAACACGCGACCTGCGAATTACTATAGATCGACGCTCTACTAAATGAGCTACACGGTCAGACGGATTTAAGACTGGAAATTATGAACTATATAATTCGAAATATTCCAAAATATATATGAAACAATTTTCCCAAATATATAAAACAAAATCCGTCAAATATATAAAACGAAATTCGTCAAATATATAAAACGACATTTTATTAAAATAAAACGACATTTTTGGCGGAGAAAGAGCGCAACTAATTTATCCGGAGTAAATTTTCTGTAAACCACGCTTATGCAAATATGGCGGGCAACAAAAATCTGCAAAGTTTATCAAATCTTGTCAAAGCAATTTTTCGATTGAGTCAAAATAGCACATGCAGAGACCCGTAATAGTGGGGAGACGCAAGAAACTAGGGACGATGTGGAATCAACGATACGAACGCTCTTTCCTTCAACGAATGATCAGACAGAAGGAAATCGAAATGAAATTCCCGTGATCGCGGAACATGACGCGTTGAATACACCTGATCGTCTGTATCCCGAAAACGCAGAAAGAAACGGCCTACTGTCAAGCTGCATGCGTTGAGCAACAACAAAAATATTCTCATATAACCTGCACACCCTGTAACACCCTGATTTCACGGCTTCCAAATATGGTCATGCAGATACTTCGGAGCACACCTATGACATACAGCCGTGCTAGCGAGTTGTTCAAGAAAGAATTAGTGAAGGAAGATCTTGATGCTAAAGATTACGGACTTCACAGTTTACGATCTGATGGTGCTACAACTGCAGCTGCTCTGGGTATTCCAGACCGCCTGCAACAGAGGCAAGGAGGGTGGCGTACCGCGAAGGCAAAGACCAATTACATTGTTGAGTCAAAAAACTCGTTACTTCATATTACAAAAACAATGCAGAAGGCATAAACTGTATAAATTAACTGTATGCGTTGTGTGGTTGCGGCTGACGCTGCATCAGCTCCCACCATGTGTGAGAAGTGTTATTTTTCGCTGGCTGAGACTCGAAAGAAGCGGAAAATGTTTTCTCACTGCTGGGGGCCTGATGAAATCAGGGTGTTACAGGGTGGTGCGTGTTATATGGCAGTAGGCCGTTTCTTGGTACCATATTTGCGATTAGGCACGAATCTTTTTGCGTTTCCGGGATACCGACGATCGTGTATATTCAGCGCGTCATGTTCCGCGACCACACGAATTTCATTTCGGTTTGCTTCTGTCTGATCATTCGTTGAAGGAAAGAGCGTTCGTATTGTTGCTTCCACGTCGTCTGTAGTTTCTTGCATCTCCCCACTATTTTGACTCAATCGAGAAATTGGTTTGACAAGATTTGATAAACTTTGCATATTTCTGTTGCCCGCCATATTTGCATAAGCGTGGTTTACAGAAAAATTACTCCGGATAAATTAGTCGCGCTCTTTCTCAGCCAAAAATGTCGTTTTATTTTAGTAAATATCGTTTTAGATATTTAAGGAATTTCGTTTTATCTGATTTAACGAATTTCGTTTCATATATTTAGGAAAATGCTTTTCATATATTTTGGAATATTTCGTTTTGTATATATATACTATAATGTCGTTTTATATATGAGTGTTTCGATTTATATATGAGTGTTTCACTGATTTTATATATTTCTGTTTCGTTGTATATATTTCTGTTTCGTTTTATATATGGCAATTTCGGCTTACAACAGGGATTACTCTAAGGTGCAGTGATAACCAATTTGTGCAGTGATAAATGAGATTTGTGCAGTGATAAATTAGATTGTGTGCAGTGATAAAATGCGATAATGCCGATATTGTTCAGTGCCAGAAATTGACGACAACATGGCCATATGCTTGTATATACTAATTTGCATGTAATCCACATGCAATAGCTTTCAGTTTTTACTGGGAATATACAGGGTGAAAATATTTAACTCAAAATTATTGCAATCTGGGGGCTCATCTATATATATATATATATATATATATATATATATATATATATATATATATATATATATACTGTTTGCCTACCTCTTGATCAATAAAGCATTCATATACTAATGTTTCGAGTGCATATTTATTCCGATCGGGTATCTCTCCTAGCGGCCAAGTCGTGTTCAAGAAAATCATTTTTATGTCACCTTCGTATGGTTATAAACTGCTGCCGAGCGATTTTGTTTTGAGATTTTTGACGCTGTTTAAATGGACAGGTGTAGAGTAATTTATATCACGAGTGTAAAAAACCATTTCTTGAGCAATATCGCTTGGTGTTTTGCATGCGATTCAAAAAATATGTGTAAATGTGTATATTTTTGCATGAAATGAAATATGCAGCATGCAGATTTGGGCTCATTAGCGGTGATTTTAGCTCATTTGCCTGTATATAATTAGTGACATGCATGGGGCAAACTTTAAGTTGCAGAAGCAGAGTACTGTATACATGCACTTATGCATGCAGGGCAGTCAGAACGTTTTCTAAAATGTCGCTAAATTTATATAAATTTGATCATTTTTCGCGCTTTTGTGCAGTGATAAAATTTCCTTAGAATAATCCCTGGCTTACAAAAATAGATTTGAAATTATATATTTGAAATATAATACATTATATAAATGGACGTAAAGTAATATAACTAATATTGTCCATCTTGGCACACCATATAAACACGCCGGATAGTTCTATTCAATTTCAGGTCCAGCAAGGCCATCTCTTCTTCAGTGTCCAGTATTAATACGATACTGAAACGAAATCATGGTCAGAAAACTGTTTATTACATAATGAATAAAACCACATTCGCTACTGAACCATTGTATCGCTTCCTTTGTGTTTATCAAATAGTTCATTCCACATACAGGCACAGTGTATAATAGCCGCCAACAATTTGTTTCAGTGCTGTTCGACGGGGTGAATCCTTCAAATCAACATTTTTCCAAGAGACAAAGTTAGATGATTTGGGTATGAAGGAAAGCGACAGTCTTCAACGCAATGTGTTTCATTACGCTGTATCGAAGCCGGATACTTTGAAAACGTTACTGGAGATGGTTGGAACAGTACGTTTAATTCAATAATATTGTTAGAACGACGCTATATACGGGCAGCTCGCGAATGCAAATCCTTGCCGAATCAATGAAATATAAACATCATTTGCATTGCGAAAAATTACATCGCATTTTTATTGGATTAAAAAGATTTATTTATCATATAGATATTGAGTTTTACGAATGGTTTAGTCAATAATGCTAAAACTCATTTCGCAATGCACGTTATTACGGTGGCCGATAAGGGTCATTCACAGGCACAAAAAGTGAAATCACCCAACAATAACACGAAACACGCCAACAAATGCGCGATTCGCGCCACAAGTTTACGATTCACTCCACAATTTCACGCCACAAAGAAACCGCTGACCGATCACGGTCTCATATCATTAAATTCACTTCCCGCCTTTTCCCGCGACCGCATGACAATAAAAATGGTCGTGGATTCATATATACTAGAAATACATGCATGCAGTAACCCCTCGCCAATATTTTCCAAACATTAAATTAACATGAAGTATTCAGAAATGACCAACACTGAACGCAGGCTCGCGCTCAAGTGTTGCCATGACAACACCACAGAGTAGAGACATACAGAGACGTAACTGATCGTCGTAAACACTGCGGAAGATTACGTTATCATGTACCCACTTTTTTTCAGGGCGACCGGGCGAAAATGATCAACTGCGCATGCTCGGCAAGTTTAAAGTGAGTCGTCATCAGGTCGTCATCCAATCAGATGCATGCATCTAGTAACTTGCCGAGCATGCGCACAAAAATAGTGGGTACACTAGTTACGTCTCTGTATGTCTCTACTCTGTGACAACACGATTTCTTAAATTTTTAATTTTTTCATATTTTTTGTACAAAACTGCAAAATAGTTGAAAGATTCGTACTCTTAACTATACAACAATAAATTTCCGAAATATATACTGTAGGTATATTATTTTGCATTTTGTGAGCTTTGATTTAATGTAAAATTTAACTTGAAGCGCTTCGTAAAATGTTTTGAAATGTTCATTCAACTAAACTACATTTTGCCGATAAACTGTTTTTACTTAATAAAACATAATAAGTTTAATACAAATAAAACAAATTGTTAGCTAATTTCAGTTCAGTCTTCAAATCAATTTGTTCGCCTTTACATTTAAGATTTTTTCTCAAATTAAACGGTAATTTATGAAACTTAGAGCTTTGTTGAAAAGGAAAACAGTTCATGTTTTTAGGTAAAAAGTTAAAGTAACAAAATTCGTAAACATAGTAAATCAATTCTTCTCATTTCTTCAAACAAAATTGCTTCAAGCTTGTTGTATATGAAACGATTTTCCAAATATATGTCTTTTAAAATTGAAATCTTGCTTATCCCACTCCTACAAGCAATCAGCCATATTTTTGAGATCAGTGAGGACATAGTGAGGATGACCACCCACTCAAGATCGTTGGTCACGCCCGCGATAATTGATGAACTTTAGACTTCGGGACTTCGCTAATGCTTTCGTTTCCCCGGGTGTAAATAGCCGGGGGGAATTAGTACTCTCGCCCCCGGCTTACGCCCGGAAGGGCGCTCCGCTCCGTTAGCTCGGGGATTACAAATACTGTGTTGATAGAGCTTAAGCAACTTGGCCAATTATCTTATTGTTATTTACGTTAATCTTTGTTGTTGAAATTAAAATTGACTGTATAAAAACAGTTTTATAGTTGATATGAGTAGTTTGGAATGTGACATTTGTTAAAAGATTAGTTCAAAATTGATAGTTATTCAGTTTTAGTCTTTAGATTGAACATGTCGTGTTTTTAATATAAAATTTCCAAACAATAAAAAACAATATTAATTGTTGAAATCTATACTTGTTCACGACTATATGTTTTAAAATTGTGATAAGTTCAGAACACTTTTCCAATCAGTCAGGGCCTTTCTAATTCTTCTGATGTGCAAACACAGTTAAGATACTCCTGGACATCCTGATTAGCCGGATCAGTCATATGCTGTCTAACAAAAGTTAAAGAAATCCTCGAGAGCTTCTTCACATTGAATGCACTGGCTGTTGTCAGCCATGCTTACGCTTATTTCATACGGCGTCATGCGGTCGCGGGAAAAGGCAGGAAGTAATGAATTTAATGAGTATTGAGACCGTGATCGGTCAGCGGTTTCTTTGTGGCGTGAATCGTGAAATTGTGTCATGAATCGCGCATTTGTTGGCGTGTTTCGTGTTATATTGTGGGGTAATTTCACTTTTTGTGCGTGAATGACTCCTATCGGCCACTGTACATTATAACCAATCAGAAAAGCGAAACAATTTTCTCACACGTGAGAAAAATGTTTCATGTACGTGACGATCATTAAATTCACTCACATGCTTTGACTTTGTTTATTTCCCTGTAACTAAACATAATTATTAACTTTATTCCATTGCATTCAATATTTTACAGCATGAGCTCCACCTTTGAATTTACTATGTGAGTAAATTCTTAAACACGTCCGAATTTATCAACATGATAAATTCGCGACACCTAACCCCTAACACTAACCCTAACCCCCAATCGTAACCCCTAACCACTAACCCCTTAACGTTTTTTGAAAATCTTTTAAACTTTGTTTTTGCTTTTTCAGACTTTTTTAAACTGTTTTTTTGAAAATCTTGAAAATCTCTCACTTACTTGATTTAATTCGCTCGTTCGCTTTATGAAAACAAATGATCGCGTGCGAAAATACCATAGTCATACGTACGTCGATCAGCACTTCTCATGAATAATTAAGTCTCTAATGAGTATTTTCTTCTTTAGACCTGTTTCAAACATCGCGCTCCTTATGTGCCGAACGCATTAAAAACAATAGATAATCAGCTGAAATGCCTCATTATCCATTGTTTCTTACCAAACTCCTAACACAGATCATCTCGTATTTAATACTTTTTCCCAGGGCCTTTTTTAAGGATTTTCCCGTGGGGCCGGGGGGGGGGATTTTTGAAAAGGGACCTTTCTGTGAGATAATATATTACAGGGAGATAGCAATAGCTGAAGGCCGCGTGCCGTGTGACCAACATACCATGCACGCATGAATGGGGGGGGGGGTCTGGTGGTGTCCTCCCCCAGAAAATGTTTGAAATTTGATGCACGGAAATGCCATTTCCTGCATTCTGAGCAACCAATGTATGCTAACCTATGTATACTAACCAATAATATTCTGAGCAACCAATGTATGCAACCTATTTATGCTAACTATACTTGTATTTGAAATAAAAGAAGGGAAAAACCAACAAAACGTAAAAAAAATATTAACCATAATTTATCATTACTCATTAGAGGAGGATACCAATGGTCACATGCGTAAGGGTGTACTCCCCCAGAAAATTTTTGAAATTTGAAACACGGAAATGCCATTTCCTGCATTCTGAGCATCCAAATTTGCTCTAAAATTTATGCTAACTATACTTGTATTTGAAATAAAAGGAAAAAATGCACAAAAAGTAAAAAAGAATATTAACCGTAATTTATCATTATACTTATTAGAGGGGGATACCAATGGCCGAAGGCCACGTGTGTGGGGGCATAATCTCCAGAACATTTTTTCAAATTTGAAACCTGGAAATGCTCTTTCCTGCATTCTGAGCATCCAAAAATAACAAATTATTAACAACAATTTATCATTACTTAGTGATAGAAAAACGTAACAATTTAAATCGATTTTGTTAAACAAGGACAAAGGATAAAGTCTAAAACTTACGTACTTTCCGTTTATTTATTTGTTATTCTTCTCTGTTTTGTTGGTATAAATTTAGGAAAAAGGGACTTTTCCTGGGGGGGGGGGCAAAATGTGATTTCGTGGGGGACACAAAGGGGGAACTGGGGGCATTTGCCCCCCCCCCAGCTTGTATGTTAAAAAAGGCCCTGCTTTTTCCTCTCTCTTCATTGTATTTTTTTGTATTGATATTTGTATATATTTTTGTTTGGTTAAAAGTTAATAAATTGAAATTGTTTCTAATGCGTTGGGCATATGAGAAGCACGACGTTTGAAACAGGCCCAACGCTTACAGAAAGTAAACGAATCAAACCAAGCAGGGTACTCTATATTCTATTCTGATATTTTCTCACAGAAAACATCCATTCGAGACGCTCTACATCAAGCAGACAAAGATGGAGAAATGCCAATTCATCGCGCAGCTAGCATTGCGAATATCGAGGTATATTAAACTAACATACCAGCTGAAAATTTTCAGAAATAAAAAAATAGAAATTAGAGCTCCTTCAAGTAGAGATATTTCAGTACACGCCGCGGCTCGTTCTAGGGCCGGCCGAACGGGCAGATAATTGAGGAAGAGCCAGCCTGAAAGCCCTGGTAAAATTGATATTAATTGGGATTGGCTGAATTTAGGTTGATATTTAAGTTACATGGTGATCTGTCTGAACTTTAAAATCCCACAATACCTTCACTTAATTGCTCGTTTTCAGTCATTCAGTGCTTCTGGGACAATGTCATACCAATTTTTACTACATGAAAGATTGATTTTTTTGCAAAGGTCTCAATGGATAAATATTGATATGTGGCGGCCCACAGTTTCCTCCCTCTCTCCGCACAATCTACACACTGGGGACACTTTTTGTTTGTTAATCTTACTCTTTATATTAAATGTTTACGGTCGGAAACGTAGGAGCATATTATATAATATATAATATACTAGAAGTTACTATCGCAAGGAAAATGCTGCCTCACCCCCAAGGGATTAATATATTAAAGGCAGCATGCACAATTTGCTGAATAAGGGACTGTTTATATGACCCCACTTTGCCAGGAGATATGAGGCAGGATGATTTTGATGTGTTTAAATAAGTCACGATGGTTCAGCAAAAAATTTCACTATTTTCTAGAGATGGATTACGGTATAGTCAGGGACGCCGGAACTGGGGGGGGGGCAGTCGCTCCCGTAGCCCTTTACCAGGAGAGGCAAGGGGGGCAAAGGTGGCCTTTCAATTTAAAGGATTGCCTTTGCGAAATAGCGAATTGTCAGAAATGTTAGACAGTGCAATTTTTTACGAATTTGCTTCAGAAAACACCAGAAATGCAGTCATCGAGCTTCAAGAATAGCACAATCGCCTGGCAGAGAACCCCCTCACAGGCTCACGCCCCTATCATCCAATAAATAGAAAAGAACATGATTAGGCGAAGTTCAACTCCCGATGTTTTGCAAACATCTCTTAGTATATATTAATTCAAAAGTGCCCTTTCACGAAAATCTGCCCCCCTTGCCTTCACATCGTTCCGGCGCCCCTTGGTATAGTTAACTGTAAACGAAAGGCTGCCTGTTCAAGCATATAACCTTCTTGAACCACAATATCTTCTCTACATTTGAACTATTTCTCTACATTTGAACTTTCGTTTAGCCTAGTGACTAATATTTTAATACATCAAAATCATCCCTTCTTCCATCATGAAAAGTGCAATTTGAATATCTGTCAATCCCGACATATCAAACATTCAAACATCTTGCATATGGCCAGTTGCCATGGCTAGCTTGCCACTGAATACTGTACAATGTTTATATAAAAATATAGCCCGCGTGCAGGCCCAAGGGAACTGATAGTGGGCCTGCAAGCAAGGCCCGGTATTTTGAAAAACGCCCCTATACAGAACACGCCCCATTCGCGCGTCAATTGTCAAAAAAGAACCAATGACAGCACCCAAATATTAACAAACAAACTCGCATTAAAATGTTGCGGGGTTTTCTCTGCTTATTGAGAACATAAACAATGTGTAAATGGCTGCGTTTTAACTCCGAAAAAGCAAGCAACGCAGTCAGTAATTGCCAAATTTGCAAGTGCTCATTTTCAACTAAAATCGGAACTGGTAGGCCGTGGGCTGTTGGCCAAAATTATTTCGCTTCGTGGCACCCATGTGGGAAATACTTGGTTAGGGGTTTATTTGAAAGGCATATAGGTACATCACTACCAAAAAAGTTCCCAAGCAAAAAAGTTGCCCAATCCCGAGAAAATGGGTGATCAATGATTATCCTCTATTAAATTGTATTACAGCAAAAAAATGGGAAATTCTGTATTTAATTACAATAAAAATGACTTGCATCATCGGAAAGCGTACACAAAACCGCATATAAGACTTTTAAACAGTTTTTTTTATTTTTCAAATAGTCTTTGAGTTATTGCTGTTTTAAATGTGAAAATTGGACCAAAAACTCGCAATAAGGACTGGGTACTAGGTCAAAAACGCGTTTTTGACAGCGTATAACTCGAAAACAATTTTAGATATAAAAAAACTGTTTGAATGTCTTAAATGTAGGTTTTTGTAAGCTTTCTGATAATGCAAGTCATTTTTGTTGTAATTGAATACAAAATTTTACATTTTCTTGCTGTAATACAATTTAATTAACAATTATTCGCCGAAGGCGAGGTGATTATCGGTGAATAAAAACCGAGACGAAGTCGAGGTTTTTATTCACGATAATCACCGAGCCTGAGGTGAATAATTGTTTTAGTATAATTTCATAGGTGATTATTTGGAAAAAATAAGAAAATGCACATTTCTTCGTCATTTAATTGACAAAAAGGCTTCGGCCGCCATTTTGAAAATCGCTTAGGTGATTATCGCGTAATAATCACCTCAACGGCAACCAATCAGCGTGGAGAACTTTCAATAATCACCTCTGTAATTATACTAATAGAGGATAATCACTGATCACCCATTTTCTCGGTGTTGGGCAAGTTTTTTGCTTGGGAACTTTTTGTGGTAATTAAGCATCTATGGTTCTATGAATTGAACCACAGAAAATCTATTCCCCAGGAGGGTGCCACGAAATTACTTTTCTAGGCACTTTTTCGCACAACAGCCCACGGCCTATGGCAAATTAGGACGAATTTCAACAGAAAACGAGTCTCAGTTCAAATCGTGAGGGAAGTCGTGCAACCACATCAGCATTTATAATGTGTGCTTCGCTTCGAATTTATTTCAGTTATTTCATTTGGTAAAGAACTCTACAAAAGAAGAGAGCGTTCAGAGTCCAGATCGTTACGTTTCAAACGGCAATTTAATACCGTCTTCTGTTTCGCTTTCTCAGCGAAGCCTTGTAAATCGCAAAGTGTTTCGAATAGGCTTACATGCAACTGCATCTCAACATCAACCAAAAGATAATTTTCTTGAGGAACATATAACGTATCAAGTCTGTTTGAAATTAATGAAACTCAAGTAAAGGTTACTATAGTTTACCCCAGTCGTAATGAGTACTATTCCAACACCTCATGACAAGCAATCCCCATTGGCATAACGGCAAAAACATCTCTTCCTTCAAGTAAACAATAAACAGTCTGTTCTTGTTCCATTTATAATCGAAAAAAGTGATCAATTTTCGAATTTTAAGCTTATCGAGAGCCTTGTGATGAATCACTGACCTAATTATAGAATCCAACAGCAAACAGCCAATCAGAATGCCGCGTTCGTGGGCGAACGCGGAAAGTACAAAATACCGGGCCTTGCTTGCAGGCCCACTATCAGTTCCTTTGGGCCTGCACGCGGGCTAATAAAAATACTAAGTCGGGATTTGTTCCAATTATTGTGTTAATGCCACCTTCAAGGCTGCCCATGTCACAGAACCGAACAATATGTAGCCTGCTCACATAGAGCCTGCGACTTTTATTGATATTTTTTCAATACGCCCCCTTTGAGATAATTGAATATCCGGTAAATAGTAGCCAATCAAACTAAGTTTTGTTAATTAGATTACCAGAGGTTATTCAACAACAAACAGTTTCTCGCGCAATTTTACGCCTGTATCTTTCATTAGGATTCCAAGGTCTATTAAAAAACTATAATCTAAAATAATGCATGGTCGTTTTTTCCCTAAAGTGTTCTAATATTTAAAACATAGTCCCGTTTGTATATTGCGTCTTGTTCGTATACGTATACATTGCCGTTTTAAACTGTAACTAAATATATAAAATTTTATTCTCTATTAGTTAATGTATTTTATACATTTATATCCAAAATATAACTGTAAGATTTAAGGGAACGTATTTAGGTTTTGAACAAACACTATTTATTAAAAGTGTCGAACAATAGCAGGCTAAAAAACAACATTAATCATTATTGCGTGAAGTCTGTCATTTGCTCAATAATACAATAATACAATTAACTCAGTAGACAATAGACAATTTGAAAACCCGTGGCCGCTGCATCGATTCTGCCGTGTTTTTAATAACTACATTTTTTTGTAAAAAGCTCTTGTTGTAATAATATATGTCACTAGTTGAGACTCCCAAAAAGAAAGTCTCAAAGAGAGAGCGGACTTCGGTCAAAGAACACGCAAACGACTATTGCAAAATTTCCAGGTGTAAATTCAAATTGGCCAGGTGTTCTAAGAACGACTTTCCTCGACGGCGCTGTTTTAATAATTTGCCCATTGTCTTGGCTTATTCAAGACCAGATTGTTGAGGCAGAAAGCCTTGGGTTGACAGGGAAGTATTTGGGAGAAATGTTCGGAGGCATTTGACAATCAACTGCTTTATACTAGCTGATTCACTGCCTGTGTCTCAACGAACGTCTCGCTGGGCTAAGTTGTTCAACGTTTGAAAACACACACAGTCTCGAAGATTTCTGCCGCAAGTGATGCAAACGCGGTTAGATAAATTAATTGTCAGCCTGAACTAGACTTATTTTACTCTCTCTGCAAAGATCAGCAAGGCATACGTCGAAGTTTTCCCTTGTACTTCTTTGGAAAAGGTTTATTATTATAGCTGACGAACACAAAGTATATGGGTATATTACATGTAAACTTTTATCAAATCCCGTTGGAAGTACAGTTAATATTGCTAACCTTCGCTCATCCTTCAACGTTAATTTAAATTGAAAGTTTCTCAAATACATTCAGTTACTTCTTCTGACCAATGGGAATTTTGCGTACGCAGGCCGTTCCTCCCAGCCTATGCCTGACAACGGCTAAACAATATGCTGATGGGGAGACAATATCTATTTGTTGACATTTCTAATTGTGAGCATTATCGAAAAATATAATACTCTCTGAAATGTAGTGACACAGCCAGATGAATATATACTGTATATATATATATATATATATATATATATATATATATATATATATATATATATATATATATATATATATATATATATATATATATATATATATATATATAATATATATATATATATAAATTAAGGTACAACAAATCAACAAAATCCACTAGGCATCTTTATTACTAAATAGTTTCGTACCACACTAGACAAGATATACTATTATATATACTATTATATATACTATTATTATTACTATTATATATTATTATTATTATTATTTATTTTATATATATATATATATATATATATATATATATATATATATATATATATATATATATATATATATATATATATATATATATATATACATACATATATATATATATATATATATTCGTTTTACCTCAAAACACCGCAACAGTCTGTTTCATCCGTATAGGAATCATATATCAGGTGGTACAGCCAATTCAATTAAGACCACCTGATGATTCCTATACGGATGAAACAGACTGTTGTGGTTTTTTGAGGTAAAACGAAAAACTATATTACGCTCTATCTATATGGTATTGAGCACTGTTTGTGTTTCGTAAACCAAAATCTTAAGCTATATATATATATAGGCTGGTAGGAATATATAGGCTGGTAGGATTATTTCATATTATGCTAACAATAAACACACAGTATAAAGTCAATATGTGCAGACAACAATCCACACTGGGTTGCTCTAGGACTAGGGATCTTATCACAGCCTGATTTAACAACATTCCGCGTTTGTTGTTAAACTATAAACATCTAGAAATGAACACTATACTCATCGTCTTGGCACAAAGCAAACAAAATATACTGAAAACTGAGTACATTGTGACTCGTAAATAAGGCATTATTGATGAATAGATCTGGTGGGCTATTATATACACTGCATGCCGGTAAATTCATGAAATTACTTCAGAGCTCTTAAGTATATCTTGTCTCCTTGTATTTATATTAAAAAGACATTATCAAATGTTCTAAACGACCATGCGGACAATGGGAATATTTCGGGCTGTAAGAAGCGCCGTAAACTCATGACATAAAAGCACATTGCTTGCCTCCAGAATGAACGCTAAACAGTTCATCGTCTTGATGGATATTAGCACAAAGAAATAAAGCCATACTTACCTAGTTTCTTCGGGAAATGTTCGTATATTTCGCATCAAGTCAGATCCAGAATAAAAGTTTGCATATAAATATGTGCACGCGCAATTTAATATTTTTTTCGCACTCCCCCCGTCCGTCCCCGCACTCCCCCCGTCCGTCCCCCCCCCCGGAATTACGACATCTTAACAGACACAACAGGTGGGCAATTTGTCTGAGCATGCGCGAAGAAAATCAATATGGCGACATATATAGGGAGTGTTTCGTGAATTTATCTGGTTTTAAAGCTGATAAAACAACATTTTAATGAACGAAAACTTTGTAATATTTAGTGGAAAACATTAAGCTATGCGCATTCCAAAGGTTTTAAATTGAAAATAAGTACTTTTTCTTTATTTTATTGCTTTTTATGCTTTGAAAACAGGCAAGCTCATTTTTTGGCAAAAATCTAATCTAATATTTTACCCATCATTTGTTTAATCTGCACAGAAATAGATAGAACACTTGGCTATATAAGTTACAAAGGTATTGTTAGCTGATCTGAAAGATTTCAGTATTCCTGGTACACATTTTAACAAATGAAATGTAATTTCAAGAATTAAATATGCATATCACAAACCATAGTTTTTATTATAGAACAGCACATAATAAGTTGTTATTTTCTATTTTTACAAAAACAAGTTTGGAAACAGGATTTAGTCCTCCAGCTTGGTGTCATATTCCATTTATTTGGATATTTCAATAAAGGAATGTGAAATAATAATTTAATCTTGTGCAAAATTTGACACCAACACACATGTGAACAGATACTATCACCTAAAATTAAAAGAAAACAGAACTTAAATTTATCATCTAATACTATGAAAAAAATCTTAGATTCTACAGGCATATGGTGAGCACAATTCTTTAACAAACTCACTAAAATAAGTTAAGTTATACTATGATAAGAGGATGGCAATTTTTCATGGTCGCATAACTGGTATTGCCACAAACCCAGGTGAAAAAGCAATTAGAAAAACCTGGTTTTGGGTGATGAGCATAGTCAAATTCTCGACTTATTCAATTTTCTATGTTTTTCCAGGTAAACAGATTAAACATTGAAATAAGCCACATTCGGGACTTCATAGAATCCAAACTATTGTGTATGGACCAGACTTTTTTCAATTTTGTGTGATTTACATAACACTAGTTATAATTTAAGGGTCAACCAGTATTGTTCAAGACATATTATCTTTCCAAAACACCTTTCCAAAATACTAACCCTAGCATATCAAAAATAGTGTACATTTACAAGGGCAATTTCAACCCTCTGGCACATTTTTCCCATGAATGATTTCAATTCTAATAAAACGACTATAGATAAAACCTTGATTTAAAGCTAGTTTCAAGTGATGAGCATACCCTAATTTTTAAGTTATACCTCAAAGAAGATGGGCCATTTCAACATAAACAATGAAATATGGGTATACTGACAGCTCTGTCACACGTGTAGTTTGACATTAGCAGCCCTTCTGAAACATTTTAATGAAAGTATAATTCACATAATTCACATTTTCACTTACTTCTTAACATCTGTTTTAATCCAACTAGCTCTGTAGGCACGAGTGAAATTTAGTGTTGATGTAAATATCCATTTAGTTCATGTTTCCCCGGTGAAAATATAGTCTATTCCAACGCTGATTTCGATGTACTTTAGCTTTTCAGAAACCGTTGGCCTTCCTCAGTGAGATTATGAAGTGTTTCACAAACATATTTGATAGTAAACGGCTAAAATATTCTCCGAAAGTCTGTATTTTTGCTCTTCGACGCGAAAATGGCAACTCAAGAAGAAATGAGCCGCTATTTTTGGTCAGCGTCGACAAATTGCCCACCTGTTGTCAAGATTAGTATAGGATAAACATCGAGAAGGAGGGATTTATGTCAGATAATGACCCGAGGACGCGCTGCGTCGGCGGATATTATCTGACATAAATCCCGACTTTCGAGGTGTTTATCATATATTTAATTCTTGATTGAGGAGGTTTTCCAACAAAGTTAACTTTTACCTGTTTCGTCTGCTTTGAATGACGATTTTCTGAGTTTTCCTTTATCTTTTCAGGTAATTAATATTCAAGGTGATTATTAAAAATAATCACCTCGGTGATAATATGTATTATAATATCATTTATATTATAATATAATAATATTATAATAAATATAAATATATATATTAAATGGTATGTGTGGAGATCACTAAGCAACATAGTAGGCCTTTCTTGGTAACTACGTGGTATCGACCACCTAACTCAGAGCAAGATATACTGTATGAAACGATTTTCCAAATATATGTCTTTTAAAATTGAAATCTTGCTTTATATCCCTCTCCTACAAGCAATCAGCCATATTTTGAGATCAGTGAGGATGACCGCCCACTCAAGATCGTTGGTCATGCCCGCGATCATTGATGAACTTTAGACTTCGCTAATGCTTTCGTTTACCCGGGTGTAAATAGCCTGGGGGAATTAGTACCCTCGCCCCGGGCTTACGCCCGGAACGGCGCTCGGGGAAAAATTATATTGTCGTTACTTTTGATTTTTTCCACTCCTTGTTTCGTTTACAAAATTTAAAGATGATGTCCACTCGTGTGCGCATGTGCGAACTTTGTTTACGTTTTGAACTTGTATATTCGTAAAATATGATATACTAACTGAATATCTCAGTAACATTTTTCTGGTTCGCCATGCTTGTAAATGAATATAAACTCTACTTTTCAATTCAAAAAAGTTCGAAAGATGCAAAATTTGGGCAGTGTTTATACCTGGGGATCCCCCTTTGTCATGAGCAGAACTGATGCGCAGAACGGAGTGGAAATCATCTTTAATATAAATGGATGTCAGACTTTCCCTAAGACATCAAGAACGAGAACAGTGCGAAATTCAAACGTTCCAACGTTCTAATACCGAGTTGAAAGCTCAATCACAATCCAGAGAACAACATCATTTGTAAAATTATTCAATTAATAAATTAAAATGTCTGGATTACAAATCTTCAACTCCATTTAAACACACACACACACACATAGTTAGAGCTAGTTTCGTAATGAGCAATGTACCCGCTATGCACTCTTTGTTGACTTTCTATATATATATTTATTTTGCAGTCATTGAGAATACTTCTTGAATATGATAATTCATTAATAAAGTTAAAAACGACGATGGGAAAGAGATCAGTCCTCCATTCGGCTGTGAAAAGCAGATCAGTGGTTGCTGTGAAATTTGTCCTCAGTAAAGGTCCTGACTTGGTGAACACTGTGGACAGTATCATGCAAAGTCCTTTACATTATGCTGCCAGTCTAAAACAGTCCAATGTTTTGGAATTTTTAATATCCAAAGAAAGTGATTTGACACTTACGTAAGTTTTCACTGTTTAATTAACATTTCATTTCATATGTGTTAAGTGGTCATGCAGTTTGGTCATGCAACTAGTATAATTACGGTATATATTCATGTGAAATATGCCAGATTTCAGTACTGAGATACTCATAGTGAAGCATGTCAAAATACGGTATATCTACTTGTCATGTATATATATATACCCACTAAATATTATATAACTATATGCTATAGAGAAATACCGAATAACGGTACATTGATTGTTTGATCGCTCTTATAGGGACGCGAATGATCAACTAGCACTCCATATAGCTGCAAGTAAAGGTTTAAAAAGCAACGTCGTACTGCTGTTACGAGAAAGCCCAGATTTTATTGATATCATCGATAATTCTTATCGATCACCACTATTATTGGCAGCTCAAAACAATTTTCCTACCGTGGTCTCATATCTACTTTCTAAAAATGCGGATTATGAGATTCAAGATAAACTTGGACTTGCGGCATTTGATTGGGCAGTCTCAAGCAAGTTTTCACGAGTTGTTGAAGTTTTTCTTGATACCAATGATTGGAAAAAGGTAAACATAATTAAAGGTTACGAAGAAGAAATAGGCTTCACCATATGAAATATAAACTTACGTGCAAATTGGTAAAACCAGTAAATCCTGCATGGTGTTCATTATAGCCATGCATGTGCGTTGCTTCTTTGGCGCGGCTTCGTTGGCGACAGTGAGCAAAGCGTAGTTTACAGCACGAGCTATACGCTTGATACTAATGAAGAGAAATTTTCTTTACAATTTCCTTTTCTTCTGGCCTATAGTTACAGTCTCAAATTTATACATGTGCTTATTTCAACGTTTTATATGCTGCCCACATTAGATTTGATTGACAGGCACATCGATTTTGACCAATGGCAATTTTACGTTGTGTGGGCAACTTTAGCTGACATTTTATTTGAATCTGTAGCTTTTGAGGTAGATAATTTGGTTATAAGCTTATACACCGTTGCTACATTTACTGGCTAAAAATAGAAATCAGCAACAGATCCCCGCTGAGCAAAGAAATCTCGAAAACTACAATCATTATCATGCTCAATCGTTTCAGCCAGTTTAAGACCTATGTTTGCAAAATGATCATTAAAGTGCCTATGACACGAAATTTCACCCCAAATGTTTATGACTGCATTGTAAAGATCACGTAAAATGACTTAATAATTTCTTTTAAAGAATTTTGGTAATTTGCTTCCTTTGCAAGATATTCAACTTTGTTTCATATAATAATATCACCGGTGTGGCATTCACACCCGGGCAGTACTCCCACGCCGGGAAAGGATTTGTAACATGGTAATCGAAAGAGTGTACTGTGTGTACGTGTATATTTGCCATCGTGTAGATTGTATGGATGCCATTTTTTAAGCTGTGCCAAATTTGTGCACATTTGAACACAATTTTAGTGTTTTATAAAGAAACAAACTTAATTCACTCTGCTTTAAACGTCTAAAGTCGTCTAGAAGACATTTTGATTCTTATATGACTCTTATATGAACTCTATTTGTTATGTCTGAGGGAATTGAAGCTGTGATTGCCAAACTTGGTGATAGACCAAGATCAGAAGCTGTCAAAGAATTGGCAAGTTATGGTAATGTTGATAGTCTCACTCAATTCAAGATGAAACTTGTTAACGACGGCAGGCAACGTGCCAAAGGGAGAATATTATATAAGAAGAAAGCCGAAGGGAGGCATGCAGTGTATGCTGATGTAACACTGGAAGAACGCTTGGCTAGCGATATCTGTGAAATTTCCGATTTCCTTGACTCTGGAACTGTAACTAACGAACTATGAGATATGTTTAAGAGTGATTGTAGTCGGGTTGCGGCGAATCTAGCTTCTGTTAACAATGACAGCCCTGCTTTCACTAGTCAACTAACACGTAGCATTGACCGGTCATTAACTACGACCAACAGCCCTGCAATGTTTAGACCGCCTCGGGGTCTAACTGATATGCGGAATCAGTTAGCTTCGCTTCAGTCGAGCGTTTTGCTGTTTCGGGAACAGTCAAAAGCTGAAATTATCGAGCTTCGAGGAAGGGTTAGTGGTTTGAGTTCTGTTGTACAGTCTCAATCCAAAGAAATAGCTAATTTAAAAAACGAAAACACGAAGTTGTGCCAAATTTGCATACAAGGTCATGCTACAATGCCTAATAATTATTCACAGGAGTTAGTTGAGAATGAAATCAGTAATCATGTTAGTGAAGATATTACATATTCTAGCCGTGTTGCAAAGAAAACAAAGAAAGCTAATGACCCGAAGGCTAAACATAAGCCCTCTAGCAACAAATCCACGGAAAGTGAGCACGAAGTTGTTGCTGTTGTTGCTGTCAATGACGTGTTAGAAAAACCCGTGGACTACCCCGCTACCTGTGTTGTAGCAAGTCGTAGTACGAATAACCACAGTATTTCAGTTATAAGTAGTGACAACGCGACTAATATTGAGCAAGTTACGGAAGTAAGTGATGAAACGGATGTAGAGTTTGTGGGAGTAAAGCGTTCTAGGATAAAGACACGGCGTTTCTTTTTAAGTGGGATTAACGAGAAAGTGAGCTCCAAACAGATTTTAAACTACCTTCAGGACCGTCAAATCATTCCAACACTACTACGCGTGTTTACAAGTAAACAAAAGGGTACCGCACTTTCAGCAAAACTTAATGTAAAAGACGAAGATTCTGCTAAAGTACTTGATAAGGACTTCTGGCCAAAATATGTGCGCTGCAGAAACTGGGTTTCACAAAAACAATTTGACAAAACCCGCAACCAAACAACACAAAAGTAATGGCGCAAACACATCAATCTAATGTTGATAACAATCAACCAGGTTACGTGCCTAGAAATGCTTCATCAAGAAATGTTAATAACCTGATCACTGTTCCTTGTTCCAAAAGGAATCGAAATAATTGCAATAATCAACAATTGCAATTTTGTTCTTTTAATGCACAATCAATTAGGTCTAAAACGTCAGATATTTTCGAATTAATTTGTGATACTAAACCAGACATTGTTGCCATTACTGAAACGTGGCTTACAACAAATGATTCTGCAGTCAAAGCTGAAGTATGCCCAGAAGGTTACAAAACTGCAGATTTCCCACATATAGGACGTCGTGGGGGCTGCACTTATTTATAGAGATTCGCTAACTATCAAGAGGGCTGATGCCGATCAAAAAGACTCTTTTGAGTTCTCGGAATGGCTGGTATCTTCGCAATCTCATAACATTCGCGTGATAATTATATACAGACCGCCTTATTCTGTGAACCACCAAATCCCGACAGGTGTTTTCTTCACAGAATTTTCAGACTACCTAGAATCATTTCTACTTTGTAAGGAACAATTGCTGATTACTGGGGATTTTAACTTTCATCTAAATGATAATCAAAATATTGATGCTTTGAAGTTTTTAGATCTACTGGAAACATTCAATCTTCAGCAACATGTTACAAATTCTACACATCTTCATGGCAACATATTAGATCTTATTATTATCCGTACCTCTGAAGAACTTTTAGCCAAACCTCCACGTATTGAACGATTCATATCTGACCATGCTTGCATTATATGTCAACTGATTTCACCTAGAACGCAGTTTTCAGTTAAGAATATCTCTTATCGTAAAGTAAAAACTATTAACATTCATCGTCTTAAAAATGATATTAAAGAATCTGCACTGAATCTGACTTCAGAAAATACCGATGATACTATTGCGGATACGGATGCCTTAGCACATGTGTACAATAAAACGCTACAGCGCTCTTGAATGATCATGCTCCTCTAAAGTCCACTACTAAAGCTGTAAGACCTACCATGCCTTGGTATAATAATGAGATTGATGATGCAAGGAAAAAACGTAGAAAAGCTGAAAGGAAATGGCGGAAATCACGTCGAGCAGAAGATCTTGTAATGTTCAAAAGATTAAAGAATTATGTTACCCATCTTCTAAATAAAGCTAGACGGGATTTTTATACCGAATTTGTGAACGAAAATAGTAGTAACCAAACGAACGTATTTAATTTAGAGAAACGATTAGTTAAATATTACAAGTTCTTTTGATGCCTTAGTTCCGTGATTAAGATCAGGTTTAAGTCGTCTAATGGCAAGTGCTTCCTTAAATAGCAATAAGGACCAATGATCAGCTCTGTCTATAATCTTAGAGTTAGTAAATATAAGTTCTGAAAGTATACAAGTTTGAGTTGGGTTAGTTTCTTCGTCTGGATACAGTTCTAAAATGGATTTGATATGTTGAAAGTGTTCGCATGATGTGATGTGGTTAAAGACTTCAGATTTGTTGTCCAGTGAGTGTTCTTTGATTCTGGTGTGGAAGCAGCGATCTGTTTTACCGATGTATCTACTTTTCCATCCAGGACAGGTGAATTCGTACACTACAGAGCTTTGGTATTTAGCCGGTGTTTTATCTTTGTTTGAGAGGAACGAGTTGCTGTTAGTAGTTTTCCAATTAATGATGAAATTGCATTTCAATTTTAGTAGTGGGGTTATTCTATGTATAAATGAGCGGGTTAGTCGGGTACCATATTTGCCAAGATAGGGTAAAGGTAGCCAGATTTTAGGGACAGGGTTAGTTAGATCAGTATCAGGGTTATCTTGATGTATAACGTTAATGTTAGATGTTGTAGACGGTTTGAATTGATCAATTAGTTTTAATGACAATTTTCGAGGGAAACCATTCCATGACAAAAAGTTTTTGATGTGTTGTAGTTCATCTTTCAGGAGGTCTTCAGTATTGCAGATTTTATATGCGCGGTGGACAAGAGCTCGTATCCAGGCTACTTTTCTTGACCAAGGCGAGAAGCTAGATATATGTTGGTATTGACCAGTGTGAGTAGGTTTTCTGTAGACAGAAGTACCAGAGGAATGAATTTGGATGTCAAGAAAATGGATGTCATTGTTATTAAATTCGTCAATAGTAAATTGAATGTTAGGATGAAATGAGTTAAATTTAGATAGTATGTTAGTTAAATCTGAGGGTTTAGTAAGAATAAGTGTGTCATCAACATATCGTTTATAGAATTTGATCGTACCTGAGTTTATTAGTGGTTTAATAATTAGTTCTTCAAATTCAGTCATGATTATATTAGCAAGAGTGGGACCAAGCGACGAACCCATTGAGACGCCATCGGTTTGTCTGTAAAGTTGACCATTTAGAGAGAAAATGGTTTTTGTGCAAGAGTCAAGTATTAGTTTCTTAAGTGTCCGTTTTCTTAGTGTAGTGGGAATAAGATTAGTTTTATAGATACGATTAAGAATTATGTTGACAGTTTGAATGAATGAATTAAAAAAATAATAAAACAACAAATAAATAATAAAACAACTAATCAAAAAATTACAACTAATATTTTACAACTAATGAATTTACACTACGAGATAGTTTTGACGCAGTAACCCAAATTAATAACGTTCCACACAATCTTTTCGATGATGGATATAGATTTGCTTCTTTTGACGTCAAATCTCTTTTTACTAATATACCACTTAAGAAAACTGTCAACATAATTCTTAATCGTATCTATAAAACTAATCTTATTCCCACTACACTAAGAAAATGGACACTTAAGAAACTAATACTTAACTCTACAGACAAACCGATGGCGTCTCAATGGGTTCGTCGCTTGGTCCCACTCTTGCTAATATAATCATGACTGAATTTGAAGAACTAATTATTAAACCACTAATAAACTCAGGTACGATCAAATTCTATAAACGATATGTTGATGACACACTTATTCTTACTAAACCATCAGACTTAACTAACATACTATCTAAATTTAACTCATTTCATCCTAACATTCAATTTACTATTGACGAATTTAATAACAATGACATCCATTTTCTTGACATTCAAATCCATTCCTCTGGTACTTCTGTCTACAGAAAACCTACTCACACTGGTCAATACCAACATATATCTAGCTTATCGCCTTGGTCAAGAAAAGTAGCCTGGGTACGAGCTCTTGTCCACCGCGCATATAAAATCTGCAATACTGAAGACCTCCTGAAAGATGAACTACAACACATCAAAAACTTTTTGTCATGGAATGGTTTCCCTCGAAAATTGTCATTAAAACTAATTGATCAATTCAAACCGTCTACAACATCTAACATTAACGTTATACATCAAGATAACCCTGATACTGATCTAACTAACCCTGTCCCTAAAATCTGGCTACCTTTACCCGATCTTGGCAAATATGGTACCCGACTAACCCGCTCATTTATACATAGAATAACCCCACTACTAAAATTGAAATGCAATTTCATCATTAATTGGAAAACTACTAACAGCAACTCGTTCCTCTCAAACAAAGATAAAACACCGGCTAAATACCAAAGCTCTGTAGTGTACGAATTCACCTGTCCTGGATGTAAAAGTAGATACATCGGTAAAACAGATCGCTGCTTCCACACCAGAATCAAAGAACACTCACTGGACAACAAATCTGAAGTCTTTAACCACATCACATCATGCGAACACTTTCAACATATCAAATCCATTTTAGAACTGTATCCAGACGAAGAAACTAACCCAACTCAAACTTGTATACTTTCAGAACTTATATTTACTAACTCTAAGATTATAGACAGAGCTGATCATTGGTCCTTATTGCTATTTAAGGAAGCACTTGCCATTAGACGACTTAAACCTGATCTTAATCACGGAACTAAGGCATCAAAAGAACTTGTAATATTTAACTAATCGTTTCAGTACATATCAAATTACTTAATCTTCACTATATATATATCGATGTAATGTAACCTAGCATCATTCCTGATGATGACTGAATCTTAGTCGAAAGCTAGAATATTATTAAAATGTTTATTTTCGGAGTTACCGTTGTTTTATATTTTATTAAAATACTCAGTGGTTCCCGTAATTTTTTAATTTAGAGCAGCCAATAAACTACTTGCATTAAAGAATAACAATGTGTCTTTACCTAATCAAATGGACAGAAACATTCTTGTGAATGACATTGGTAAATTTTTTGTTCATAAGATTATCAAGGTTCGTGCTGAAACTGACTCAACTGATGTTGATGAGATAGATAGAGCACTGGTTCCAACTAATCCGCAGATAGACGATGAAATACAGGTCATGGAATCTTTTCAATTACTAGATGAGAAGGATGTTTCTACTCTGATTCGAAAATCAGCTAAAAAAAAACATGTAAATCGGATCCAATGCCTACTTCATTAATTATTGATTGTCTAGATGTTTTTCTCCCTTTTATCACCAAAATGGTTAATGTGTCATTAACAACAGGTCATTTCCCAAATGCATGGAAAGAAGCTCTTGTCAGTCCGCTGTTCAAGAAAGGATGCGAAGATATGGAATACAAGAACTTGAGACCTATAAGTAATTTGCAATTTGTTTCCAAAATCACCGAGAGAGCAGCGTCTGATCAAACCTATAACCATATTGTGGCTAATAATGTGTTTCCCCCACTACAGTCTGCTTACAGGAAACACCATAGCACAGAAACGGCGCTCCTTAAAGTTATAAACGATATCCACGTTAACATAAACAATCAACAGGTAGTAACGTTATTAGTATTTCTGGATTTGAGCTCCGCGTTTGATACTGTTGATCATGATATTTTGATTAATCGTATACAAACAAGTTTTGGAATAACAGACAATGCTTTACTGTGGTTAAAATCATATCTATCTGGCCGCTCTATACGTGTCATTATTGACGAAAGTACATCGGAAAGCCTTAACATGCCTTACGGTGTTCCACAGGGATCATGTCTGGGCCCATTATTGTTTACCGTTTATGCTAGCAAACTCTTTGAAGTGGTAAAACATCACCTACAAAATGCTCATGCGTATGCTGATGATACCAAGCTTTATCTAGCGTTTAAATCTGAAACAACACAATGTCAAGAAGACGCGATGGAAGCTATGGAGAAATGTATCAAAGCCGTAAGAGCATGGATGATAACTGATAAATTGAAGCTGAACGAAGGAAAAACAGAATTCATGATTATTGGGACTCGTCAACAGCTGAAGAAAGTCACAGTTGACCAGGTATTTGTTGGCGACATGCGTGTTACTCCTGTTAGCAATGTGAAAGACCTTGGAGTATGGTTGGATTCTCATCTCAAGTTTGATGTACATATTACTAAAACGTGCAGCACCGCTTATTATTTTCTTCATAACATCAGAAGAATAAGGAAATATTTAACACATCATACTGCTCAAATCTTGGTGCATGCTCTGATGATTGGACAGATTGATTATTGCAATTCTTTGTTCTATGGTCTTCCAAAAACTCAGACCAAGAAATTGCAAATAGTACAGAACATGGCCGTTAGACTTATTACTAATTCTCCACGCTATTGTCATATCACTCCTATTCTGTATCGACTCCACTGGCTGCCAATAGAATATCGAATTAAATTTAAAATACTGCTGATAACATTTAAGGCTATCCATGACTTGGCACCGGACTGTATTAAGCTAGGATCTTATTAACGTGAAAAACTCGTCCGCCCACAACCTTAGATCAGATTGTCGTTTCCTACTAGCTCCGCCAACATTCAACTCAAAGAAGACAACTGGAGATAGAACTTTTGTTGTGGCAGCACCAACCTTATGGAACGAGCTTCCATCTGATATCACAAGGGAAAATAACATCAACTCTTTTAAGAAACGACTTAAAACTCATTTGTTTAGAGAAGCATACGCTAATTCTTAAATTGAACGATTGTCTTATTCTTGTTTACATTTTTAATATTTACATTTTTAATATTTTAGTATATTCCATATTTATACATTATAGTGTACAGTATAGAAACATTTGTTATATTTTGGAAATTTGTAAAGCGCATTAATTAGATCATATATCAATATGTTATTTTGCGCTATATAAATATTAAAATTATTATAATGACATTTTGAAAACGCAATATTTTACCTTGATAAAATATTTTTACAAACAAATACAGAGGGTTAATTACCAGTTATGAAATTAATACATATACACGGGCAATTTTTAAGTTTTTTTAGATACGTATTCGTCAAGAAAACTATACTTTTCCGAAAACTCATTATGTGATGTCACACCGGTGATATTTGCATATGAAACAAAGGTGAATATCTTGAGAAGGAGTTACCAAAATTCTATAAAAGAAATTGTTAAGTCATTTAGTAAGTGATCTTTACAATGCAATCATAAACCTTTGGGGTGAAATTTCGTGTCATAGGCACTTTAAGAACTTCAAGTAGATCCTCGGTTGATTTGTTTTCCTGATGAGAGGGTGTGGTCAAAAACTAACGTAAGTATGTACGACTATCGATTATTTATTATTATTAAAGTCTTTATTGTCTAGAGTCACAACAGACGTGCAACTTTACAAATGTCAAATTCCTATTTGTTACAGTTAAAAAAATTGATCTATCCTAATTAATTATATAAAAGTTAAAAATAGTTAAAAAGACATCTATTTATAAAGGATCGTTTAAATCGCTCCGTTTTAATTTGAGGTAAAATAAAGTTATGTTCCCTTTGTCTTAAGTTCCTTTGTTTACACACAGGAAGCAATTCATGTAGGGCATGTTCTGGATTCGATACGATTTTGCTGAATAATTTTCTGTCTCTCTCCTCGATCACTTCAGATATCTTAATACTCTTTGTCGTATATCCATAACGATAAGCCCGCCGGAAAAACTTGTCTATACGATCCAAATATTTGTTTTGGAGTGCAGAGCCCCACACTTCAATGCAATAGTAAAAGAGTGACATGATTAGCGAATCGAATAATTTGCTTAGCTGATCTGCAGAGTAACCATAGCATCTACACACTCTCAATATGTACATACGTCCGCTGGCCTTCGACAGAAGATCATCGATATGAAGATCCCAGCAACATGGATTTTCCTGAAATGTGACACCTAATAATTTCAACCAGCTCTTTCGTTCAATGCCTACAATCGGTAGTTACAATCGGTGCCGGTAACGGTTTCATGGACCCACAGTGCACAACCATTTCCCACGTTTTAGAAAGATTTAATGTCATTTGATTTGCTTCCGACCAATTCTGAATGCTTTCCACCTCAGCCTCAGCAGAATCCGATCCTGATTTTACTGGAGCACTTGTCGTTATATCGTCAGCAAATTTAACCAATAGGTTATTTTGCGCATCCATGGGTTTTATATCATTAACCATCAACGAAAATAGAAAGGGACCCAAAACCGTACCCTGCGGTACGCCTTTGTTGATATCAACATAAACAGTTTCTATGCCATCAACAACAACTCTTTGTTTTCTGTTGGCCAGAAAACTAATAATCCAGTTTATACAGGGTGTATCAAAAAAAAGGAGACCTTTAGAAATGAAGCATATTGTTAAAATTTGAATGCCTTTTCAATTGCATATATGCTGAACCGTAGTGCGTGAATTGCATATATTAGAAAAAGGAGACCTTTAAAAATTGAAATAACGTTTAAACAAAAGATTGTCTGCTCCTGGGAACAATCTGCCATGCATACTGTACGTAGATCGCATGTTACGCACTCGTGGGCTTAGCAAAGTGCTCCAGGATTCAAATGATAACAATGGTTGATTTGTAAAGGTCTCCTTTTTGTAATATATGCACTCCATCAATATTTCACGCACCACGGTTCAGCATATGTGCAATTGAAAAGGCATTCAAATTTTAACAATATGCTTGATTTCTAAAGGTTTCCTTTTTTTTGATACACCCTGTACAGTATACGGATTAATTTCGAGTGTTTTCAATTTTTCACAAATAATGTTATGGGATACCGAGTCAAACGCTTTCTTATAGTCAAATGATGTTACCCTAACAGAGTCTGCACCTTCATCCAGCCACTTGAGCCAATGATGCAAACACATAATCAGAGCATCGATAGTATTTGTTCCCTCTTTATAAGCAAATTGATCTCGTCCGATCACGGATTTGAATGCAGACGCAATCTCCTGTTTATAAACTACCCTTTCAAATAATCTCATAATGATGTTTGTGAGCGATATAGGCCTCAACTGATTACACTCTGTCAAAGGAGATTCTTTGGGTATAGGGTTCACATTGGCGAGCTTCCACATCAGGGGGACACATTGTTGTTCGATTGAGAGATTGAACACTTTGGTAATTATGGGCGCTAAAAGTTGTGCAAAGTCTTTCCATAACCAATATGGAAGCCCATCAGGACCTGGCGCTGTTCGTTTTAGTTTCGTCAAAAAATTAATAACCGTAGGCTCATCAATGGTAGGAACTCGGGTACCTATAGGAATTGGTATGAGTTGGGGGGATATATAGTTCGCATCCGTGTTTACATTTTGAAAGTACGAGTTAATAT